TGGCCTGGAGAATTCCAGGTAAAGAAATTCTGTTTCAGTGTATTTAACTAATTTAAGAAAATCCTGTTTGTTTTTTTTTTTTTTTTTATTTTCTGTTTCAGAACAAAAAAACCATCCACAAAAATGCCACCAAAAGCAAAGCTTTAAAATGGTGTTGTTAGTTGAGCTTACAAGTGAAGATTACTCCAGTTTAAGTATTAATAAACTTTAACTATTAATCTCTGTGTTAAATACATCTCCTGGACTTAGAACTGTATAGGATTATAGATCAAATATTAGTATGATATGCATTTGTTAGACTTGACAAAATAATCCTCTGTATGTGCTTCATTAACTGTGCTGTGCTAAAATGGTAAATATAAACCTGGCCTCTTGTCTGCCACACTGATTTGGAGTAAACTTTGTCTGTTAAAGAATATTGCTCATTTTTAATGTGACAGCTATAAGCCTTACCCTAATGACGGATCAGCCTCATTATGCCAGAAACAACAAAATATAGCCCACAAATGATGCTATGAAGGAGTGTAATTTGACAGGGAAATACAAGGGCATAAAGAGGTAAATAGGAGAAAGGTCATAGATAGGGTGATTAATATGAATACATTTGTAAAAATGAGAAGCCTCTGTACATCTTTCTCATTTTAATTACTTTGTCTTAGTTAGTCAATGGGATGCAATGAAAGTGCAGAGCCTAGCTTACATAGAAGCTCATTGCAAAGGCACATAGCAGCTGCTCAAGATTCCTAAGAGCTAAAAACAGTTAGCAGCCTTCTGATTCAGAGATTGATGCAGCCAATATCCCAGAGTGCTGCGCAGCCCTCCAGAAGGACCTCAGCAGGTTGGAGAGATGGGCAGAGAAGAACCCTCTGAAATTCAACACAGGCAAATGCAGGGTCCTGCACCTGGGCGAGGATAACCCCATGCACCAGTACAGGCTGGGGGTTGAACTGCTGGAAAGCAGCTCTGAGGAGAAGGACCTGGGGGTCCTGGTGGACAACAACCTGTTCATGAGTGAGCAGTATGCCCTTGTGGACAAGAAGGCCAAGGGTATCGTGGGGTGCAGTAGGAAGGACATTGCCTGCAAATTGAGGGAGATGATCCTGCCCCTCTACTCAGCCCTGGTGAGGCTACGTCCAGAGTGTTGTGTCCAGTTCTGGGCTTCTCAGAGCAAGAGAGACATGGAGCTCCTGGAGCAGGTCCAGAGGAGGGCAACAAAGATGATTAAGGGATGGGAGCATCTCTCTTATGAGGAAAGGCTGAGAGAATAGGGCCTGTTCAGCTTTGAGAAGAGACAACTGATAGCGGACACCATCAATGCCTATAAGTGTCTGAAGGGACAATGCTGAGAAAATGGATACAGGCTCTTCTTGGTGGTACCAAGCAATAGGACAAGAGGCAACGGGCAGAAACTGATGCACAGGGAGTTCCACCTGAACATGAGGAAGAACTTCTTTACTGCGCAGGTGACCAAGCACTGGAACAGATTGACCAGAGAGATTGTGGGGTCCCCTTCACTGGAGATATTCAAGAATCATCTGGACACAATCCTGTGCAATATGCCCTAGGATGACCCTGCTTGAGCAGGAAGATTGGACCAGATGACCACTGCGGTACCTTCCACCCTGACCAATTCTGTGATTCTGTACGGTCAAAACCATTACAATTAATTATTAGGCCAACGAGTGGACAACATCAAATAATCCTTTCATCTTGTTATCTTTTTACAATAGTATGTTCCAGGTTCAATTCTAACATTTTTTATGTCTAGTAAACTCTAGTATCTACAGAATTCAAAATTGCTCTGTACTTTTGCACTATGATCTTATGTGAAAGAAGCAGTAGTCAACTAGCAGTCATTGTACTGAATTTCCAGACAAGAAGTGCTCTTTTTCTTCTTATGTGAACCAGTAGAACCAGCTAGAGCCTGGAGCTTCACATTTCATGTTCCTTGTAAATGATTGCTGCTTTAAACCATTGGTTACAGTTTATTTATAGAATAATACATAGTTCACAATTAAATGCCAAGTTATAATTGAATCAAAGGATTCTGCTGATGCCTTGACTCGCAAGGGTGCAGCTCAAGAGCTTTATAAAGGGCAGTAAAATCTGAATCTAAATTACAGCCTCCAGTATTCAGTCTGGAATCACGCATTATAATGCGTAATAGGGCTAAAAGGATTATTATAATACTGCAGTAAACAAAAAGAAAATGTATCAAACAGCAGAATTCAGAATGCTTGCAGAGGCATTCAGTTTGTGATGTGGGAGGCTAGAGATTATATTGCATGAGAAATAAAGCTAGAGAAAAAGTATTTCATAAACACATTTATGTTCTTAAAAATATTCTGAAGATATTCCTAAATAACAGGAAAATCTATGTTTCATAGACAGTAAATTCATATTGTTCTGTCACATGGTTGATTCCAGATGCCATATGGCTATTTTCTGGCATAATAGGGCAATAACTTTGCAATAGTAAGAAAATATTAATTCACATCTCTTTAGTGAGTTTTTGAAAAAGCTTACAAACATTAAAAAACATAAATTTAAATTAACCAGCATGATAATAATACAGAAAAACTTGCATTTTTTCTAGTGCAAAAATGTCATCACAAAACTGGTTCACAGATCCAATCCAGAAAGACAACATTATTTTATTTGTGGAAGAAACATGACTGATAAAGCACACATTTTTTAGGCTAAAATGAAGATTACTTTTAACATAGGTATTGTGTTGTTTTAGAATGTGTTTCCTTAAAAATGAGTGATGATAAACCCTTTGCAGGTTTTTTTTCATACAGTCTACTAACCTGTGGTTTATCTGGTGGGCTGTAAGCAAGGAAAACAATCAATATTTCATTGTGTAGACATTTAATCCATCAGATATTTACCCTGGTTCCTCACACCAGGCTGTAATTAGTCCAGTGATTCCCTAATGTGTCCATGGTAACTTAGGACAACAGCTGATGCTGTGGAACCCATCATATGCCTTCCAAAGTGCTTCTGCATTTTCCTCTAACCCTCTCCAGTGTGAGATAAAACAGTGGACTATAAAGGCATTGGTCAGACCTCAGGATAGAATTTCTCTGTGGATTTAGGTTACATTCAGATCCTACTGAAATTGCAAGTTTTCAAGACTTTGAACTTTGTCAGATGTATGTTTACAGAACAGCTCTTTGGGAAAAAGTGGGGAAAGGTTGGTAGTTTGTTTTCTAATAATTATAAATCTTTCATCTATGTGGGAAATCACAGACATGCAAAGTCTTAGCACATAGAGAAAATAATGATTTTTAATATGAAGTTCAGCAAAGTCTGCTTTGAACTGCCATTTTTCTCCTACAAAATATTTAATACAGAATTGATTTTCAGTTCTGAATAACACTTTATATAGTCATTATACCTTTTCTTGGGTTCCCATCCTCAAAGTCCAACTAAGGTCATGTGACATTATTTTCAAAACTACTTTTCCAATAAGGTGTAGTTTAATTGTAATTTCCATTCAAGTGTTACTTTTCCCCTCTGACAATAAGATGGAGAACAAAGAAATACATTCTAGTTTTAAAATGTATGTTAATTTTATTATTTAATTATTTATGTTAATAAATGTAGAGAACATACTAGCTTTGGCCAGACAGGAATTCATGAGACAAGAAAGCTGTAGACCCTGCAATAAAAATACCCACAGAAAGCACAAGGGTGAGGGAAGACAATATTTACTATTAAAAGAGGATTAGATTGCCTTGTTTCTATCTCAGCAATGTTCACAAATAGTAACAGAGGTGGTAAGTAAAGATGAAAGAAGGGGAAAGAACTGTTGAGTTGGCTTTTGAAGAAACTCAGAAATAAGGTGCAGCATGTGGTATATAAATATTTGAGGCTCTGAATTAGGAAAACATAGTGTTTTAATTATACAGGACAGATACTTGCATCAATAGAAATATGTTATCAAAATAGGCCTTTGATTCAGTATATTGGCCAAAATGTTCCTGTCTGTGTTGTTGTCCAGAGTATGCATTGCAGGGGACTGTCACAGATGTGAATGCTGATTTTTGGTTTTGCTTATTTGGATAGTTGGTAAAGTATCTGGAAATATTTGGTAGAAAATACAAAAAGCAAACATAAAAGGCAAAAAATTTCCAAAGAGCTCCATTCCCAATTAGATATTTACATTAAACAACTGGTTTTCCAAAAATGCTGTAACCTGGCAAGTCTCTCTGAGAACAATTTGAAAATCTGGCTGTTTCTCCAAAGTGCCTAATAGAAATCTGTGAGCCTTTAATAGCCTTCCACAAGTTTTGCTTTGTTTTGTTTTTTAAATATTACATCATATTAAGGTCTGAAGATAAAAGAACCTTCATGTATTTCTGCAATACATGGATTGCCATCCATGAGTGATCCAATTTTAAATCATTTTCATGAGTTCAGTCAGGTTTACACATGAAGAATCTATACCAAAATCTTTTTATATCAATAATTGATCACTGACCACTGAAACAAGAGAGTAATGAAACAGGACAGTGAGCATACCATTGAAGTACTCTGTCTCTCTTACAGAGATAGTAACAGTTTAAGGAGATAAACCACGGGTAGAGCAAATTTGTTAAACCTCTTAATCATGGTTTAATGACACATTAATCCAAATTAATCCAAAATTCTCTCTTATTTTGTCAGATTCATCCACATTAATTTTTTACCACTGTCACTTAGCTGCTCCATGGAAGATCTGGGTAGCTTTTTCCTTGAATCTTAGATTAAAAATAATTCTGTTCTAAATTAATTTAAATAACCTTTTTTCAGTGTGAATGAAACTTAGTGATTCAAATATTTGTAGAAAGGAAGTAAGTATTAATAATTGAGCAAGCTAAACCAAAATTACTTTAATGAAGGCAAATGCAGTACACTTCTTGTGATGTTTACCTTATTGCTCAGTAAATGTTCCTCACATTGTTTGTGTTTCGCTGGGCAGAACTGCAGAACATTTCTCTGCTGGCTGAACTTACCTCCCCTTCTGTGGACTGTAAATGCAGTTCTTTCCTACAGGTAGCCTTTAAGTCTCCTGCAGCTGCACTGACTTGCACTCCCCTGGGTGCTTCCATCACCAAAGATCTAGTAGGAGATTCAAGTCTGAAAGACATAAAGAATTACTGAGAAAAAATGCACTGAATTGAAACACCACAAACCTCTCAGGTTCAAAACCTGTCATACATGTAGATATTACATACTTTCAAAGGCAAAGAAGTAAAAACAGTTTATGTGTGATTCTCTCACTACCTTTTATGACACAGAGAAAGAAAAACTTAGATATGCATTTAAATCTATTCCTATTTAAAGCAGCATTTAAGAATATACTGATATAAATTTATCTGCCTAGTTATGCTTTCTGGCATTAGCACCTAATTTACTCATACTAATACTGAAATATAGGTACTTAAGAATCTCCACGTCTCTGTGAATGTTTCTGTAGTGACAGAAAAGTCTGCTTAAGTGACTGATTACAAATGTTCAACTAAACAAAGAGAAAACAAAACACTTTAAAAGTTTTAAATAATGATGTAAAAGTGGTTAGAACGACTTTGCCTTCACAGGCTTATTCATATTTTGGGTATGTTTAGAAGCATCACAGATGAAGAAGAGATGAAAACAAAATGTTATGTCACTATTATTGTGAGGTTTTAGACCCTTTTTCTGTTCTGCAAAATATTACGCTCATACAACCCTGTTTTAATAGGATTAAGACACATATCACTGGGTCTTAATATTTTTACTCAAAGCTACTCTTGTTCTACTGTCAGTCTTTCCACTTCTCTCTACCCTACAGTCAAGATCGTCCATCAACCTTGATGCAGAACTATGACACATTTTTAGCTGCGCTACCTCATCATATTGCAGAGGTTTCTCTTAAAAGGGAAGTATTGATGCAAAGATTTTGTAGAAGTCATACTCATTACGCTGAATACGAAAGATGAAAACTGTAGATGAAAACTGTATTGAACTAGGAAACAATATTTCAGATTCTGATTGTGTTGAGTTGTAGACTTATTGCATAACACTGTAAGGGAGGGAGACAAAAAGTTTTAGTCTATTCATATCTCAGTAATATAATGTCTGGACATAGTTCCACTTTACCTGAACAAAGGCTTTTTAAAGATGAAATATGCTAATGATAAAAGTGTCTAGACTGTGTAGCTTGAAGAAAATACTGTATTTCCCTCTTCAACAAACTATGTGTTAAGTCATATCCATCCAAAAATACAATGAGGTATTAGATGTATAAAGGAGAGAGTAGTTTGACCAAGAACTTGGTGCAGAAAAGCCTGATGAAATATCTGTCAAGCAATGGAACAAGAGAATTTCAATGTATTTCAACTACTGCATTTTTTGAAGTACACAGAATAGTGCTGGATTATAATTTTGAAACCAAAATGACACATTTGCATGCAAAGCAAGTCACTGAGATGGTGTCTGTGAAACATTTCTGTTTGTTACATGTCACTGACACTCAATAGGGAAAGGAAGGAAATAAATAAATAAAAAGGAAAGTATTTATTCAGTGATGTAAAACAAAACTATTAAAAACAGGTGTCCAGATAGAGGAAAACACTATTTGTAGATACCTATACAAAAAACCATACATAGGATATATATAGATATGAGCAGCAGAAGGATATGTATTTCTATTAGCACTAGGCCATTTTCTTTCTTTTTTTTCTTTTTTTTTTTTCGACACTCTGTAGGGAGAATTTATTAGAAGGTTCTGCAGTTGTTTGTACTAGGGAAGAATCTAAATATCATGAATTATTTAACAACATACACAAGTGTTTTTCAGGTGGTTTGTGAACTTCTGATCTCTACAGAACAGAAGAAAAAGAACTTCCAAAACATTTTATAAAGCATATAAATTATGAAGTTTAGAAATTAGGTTTTTGAAAGTACTTCACAGCCTTAAAGAGGTTTTACCTTGAACTTAAAAGGAAACTGAATGGAATAAATGTTAAATGATTGGATTCTTCCATTCCATACTTTTCAGCAGCATATTTTTGCAATTTATAACCTATTTTCCAGGAATATTAACATTTCTCAGTGGCTTCCGCTGCCATTTAATAATCATAAAGACAAAAGTGCTCTTAGCTACATTAAATTGATGGGTCTTAACAAAGTCACAAATATTTCTGGATTCATAACATCAAAACCACTCTCAGACCTGACCAAAATTTTTCAGCGGGTGGACAGTAAAAATCTATTTAGGAATATCCATGAAGAAACTGTGGTTTTCTTTGAAGAATAAACTTTTTTTTTCTTTTTTTTTTTTCAAAAACCTAAGACAGTGAGCGCATAGCTCAGAGTTGTTTAGTCTAGTTTCATCATAGTTTTTCATGAACTACATTAATATTAATGACTTCCCATTTGTCTAAAATTAAGATATTTGGGCAATTAATTCCTTCACTTGAGAAGTTGGTAATATCAGCCTTCTACATACCACAGAGAAGAAATTTATTTCTCAGAACATAGATTTTTTTTCAGTCTCTTGAAATCAAATAATGTGGTAGAAATGTGAAAGAATGACTGATGATCATCAGGGTAGATTTTAAAACACCACCCATCAATTGTAAAAATGAATGCCTAAATCTGTTTTACAGTTCTAATTTACTTTATTATTATTCTCTGTTTGATCTGCATCTGAAAAGTGACTTAGCTACAATCTGCAGCATGCTACTGGAAATACAAAAGTCTATACACATAGATTATTTCCTCAATGTTTTGAGATAAATTAGGTTTGATATGCAGCTTCTTTATAATATTTTTCTTTGCCATATTTCTGAAAGCATTAATCTCTACTATAAACCTTTTGTAACACTTCACATTGTAATACTCATCCCTCCAGGGAAAAGCTCATTATTACAATAGCATATGGAGAATTTGCTTTCCTTTGAGATTTACTGATGGCCTGTCACAGTGGCATTTACATCTATGAGTGAATCCTATTCATATAATTAATTTTGCTTTCCTGATCAGCAAAACGCTCTGACGGAGAAGGTAACTATTGCTATTATTAGACAGAAACTACAAAACTGTAGGAAAGACAAAGAGGCTTTTTAAAAGAGGTTTTTAAATAATATAATCAATCAATTTGATATATGAGATGGAGACAGATGATCCTATCCACAGCAGAGAAGGGCTTTTTCTTTTTAATTATCGCTGGTTAATTTGTGAAAAAAGATAAATTTCATAAGATCAAAGCAATACGAATTTGAATTGAAATAATTAAAGAATTATTCCAAAAAAGGAAACTTTTAAAATATCATGAATATGTTCCTTTGAAGGTATTAAAATATTTCTCATCAGAAATGCAGAAACATTTTTTCTTTATTTGGTATTTTCCATTTACAAGCTGACCTAGATTGTATTAGAGAAAAACAATTAAAAAAAATTAACCCAAGTGTTTCATTTTGGGTTTTAAGCAACATTTTATATTTACCTCTTGCATATCCCTCCTCCTCACATGCCATATAATTTATCTATGTTAATTTTGCTCTGTTAAATAGTGGAAAGTATTTCTTAAAATAGAAGGAAATAGAAGATTCCCCTGTGCAGAAGTGAATAATTTATGTGCTTTGTGTCTATTTAAGCATTATATCCAACCCAACTGATATGAACCTCTACCAATTTGAAATTTGTATTCAAAACAGGAGATTAAAAATATGCTATCAACTAGAGGTCGTACATGTAAAACAGGTACTAATTTTCCCTTTACTGGCATTTTTACATTTGGTGGTAAAGAAATACTTCAACACTTCCAGTATTTAATTTTTATATATGATAGCCTTGCCAACACACATCGTTGTGCCTTTTTTTTCAGTGAGCATAGGAATCCTCTTATGAAAAAAAATAGTTTTGCAATTATAAAACCAATGGAAAGTCTACACATTCACTTAGTAAGCTTTTTGTAGATTTCTGTAGAATAAAATAATTCTGACATTGACCTTGCTAGCTGTAGGTCAACAGTTGCGGCAGACTGGGACTGCAGAGAGGTAAGATACACAAAGAGGAGAAGGAAGACAAATAGATGTGCCGAACCTACTTTCCTCTTGTAAACAAGCGCTCCCAACCACAAAACCCCAGAGAATGCAGGATCTTCCTCTTTCACAAGTGAAATAAATTTGTTTCAAATTAAGAATTAGGAATTTGTTTTCAAAATAATTTTGAAAATATTGTTTTCCAGAAACCTCAAACAATTTAAAATAAATATTCTTTCCATTTCTATTTTATTAAAAGAACAGCTGTTTGCCCTGATGCTCAAAGAAACTGATTTCAAGAGTCTTCCAGTGAGACCAAGGGTCCTTAAAGGCGTCCACTGAACACTGATGTTGCTAGGTAAAATTAGGGTTTTTATTAAGTTCATTTCCTGGAAGTCAGGCTGCAACATAAGGAATAGCCAGGAACTTTTATGATCATGGTGGCAAAAAAATCTGAAAGCCTTTTATTAAGATATTGCAACAATTCAAACAGTGGATTTCTGAATAACTACATTTGACATCACAGTGGAAATGATATGAAAATAAAATTACTATTCACTAATTACAATCTCATTACTTATACTATTTACAAGATTATACATGTACATTTGAAAGTGACTAAAAAGATTTTGATACATTTACATGTATAAAAATATGCATCTCTTCAAGATGCATAAGAATCACTGCCAGAATAATTATTTTTCCAGAACCTTGATGTATTCCAATGCTTTCTTTCTTATTATTGAAATGCAAGGGTAAATGTGCAGGTCTCAAAATCCTTAATATCGTTTACTGATCATCTTTTCTTTATGAAGAAACAAAATTCTCATATGTTCGTGTGAAACTTACTTTGATTTTGTGAAAACCTAAATTTGGGCATGATTTGGCTGTCAGTTTTGTGACAACAAAACTGCTCAGTAACAGAGAGTTAAATAAGTGTTTTATGGAATTGGTATTGGCCTAAACCAGTAAATACGAACTTTTTTTGGGAGGTGGGGAGGGATTGTGGGTTTTTTTCCAATTTGCAACTTATGGAAAATAAATAAAGAGGAAAGTTTTGTGACTTAAATCGGAACAGTAGAATGGCATTCAGTACAGCATTTCATGTTA